CATGTTTCCTAGTAATTTTCACTGCTGAAGCAAAGGGATTTACAGCCATTTCTTGCTGTCTGCATTTTTATGAAAGCCTGAACAATAAAAGATTGTACTTGCAGCACAAGTAGAGTTGCACGTCGGGTCAGTTCAGAGCAGCTTTCAAATTTTTTTAATTCACTTTTTATATAAGTATATGAAAATAGATTTAAAATAATAAACAATTAAAGAAGAGACTACATAAATGTCACTGCATGGTGCAGTGATGTTACACTAAAATATACATTGGTGTTATAAACACTAAAAATGATGTTACATTTTGGTATTTGATGCATTTCTAATAAAAACGGCCTAAATTGCAAATCATTCATACTAATGTATTTAATTTGATTTAGCTCAATAAATAAATAAACAAATGCACGTTTAAAAGTGTTTTTGAAAGTTCTCGAGATCAGACAGGCTACAAAAAAAAGAGACAACATGATTTGCTCTGAAATTATAGATACCCTAGCAGATATATTGGGTCTAATTAAAAGAGCGGGCATCCACGTACATATTTCAGACTTTAAAGCGCAGTGACCTAAGAATAATTTCAAGCATTAAGACCATGAGTTGAGATACTTGAATTCCCTTCAGGAAGACAAATATTCGATGACACGCGCGCACGCATACACCAAGGGATGATTCATGTCTATAATGCGTCCTCAGCTGGAGACTGAGGTTTAAAGCCTGGAAATCGATCCGTGTCCATCAGATCAGGTGACATTTGCTGCCTCCTCTGGCTTCTGTTAGATGATCACTTCTGATATTTGCACTCTTTTTATCTTCCTTGCTCTTCTGGCCTCATGTTTTCGGATCATAATCTCTCTCCTCTTCTTTTTGTGAGAACCAAAACAACGAAACGGTTTCATCTTGTGACGCGTTATATCCTCCGCGGTGCACTCTGGGACTTCTTTTCTGCCTTTTTTGGGGTCAGAAACACTGAAGTGCGGGATTATGTTCTCCCAGTATTATTTTCGTTAAGTGGGGTATTTTTCTGCTCCTGGTAAATAAGGAGCTTCATTTGTAATATTTTAGAATACGATTAGAGATGCAAGCAATGTTTATTTTGCTTATCTTCCCGTCCTTTTGTGTTTCCGGTTCTTTAATTGGAGAGGGGAGGTGGACATTTAAAGTGACAAGGTTTAAGTAGCCTAATTTTCTAAGAGTGTGTATGAAATAAGAAGCATTAGTTCCTTTTTTTCAGGAAGAAATATAAATACACGAATGCCCACATATTTTATAAAATAAAATAAATAAACCACGCAGCACTTTTTAAGGCCAGATAAATTTTACGCTGTGTATATTTTTTTGATGTTTAGTTTTTTAAAATTCCTTTAGATATTTTTCCTTAGATTAGAAATATGGTAGCCTATAAGAAAGCGTTATAAAAAACGATTTGTTTACTTACAGTTACAGTTGGATTTGGTGAGGGACTTTTGAGAAATATTTCAACCGTAACTGACAAAATGAAACAGTAAATGTCCCTTTTTATATTTCTATGATGAATCACGTTTAGTTGAGCCTGAATCTGCCAACGTGTGTCACAGTTTGTTTGTTTTATTCATTAATAAAAGAAAAACTCTTATTTTGGCTTTAATCCCCTTAAATTCCTCCACTTTGTCTAAACGTCATCCTAATTGTATTTTTAACCCCGATGCCTTCTCTGGTTCAATAAAAAGCGTCTCTTGTCGACGTTTCCTTTTGATTAAAGGTTTTTGCTCGTGTTTTAATGAATATTAACAAGCGGAGTGAAATGTCAACGAGGTTCAATTAACGTCGGATTTCTCTGCCTGTCTGCCTGTTTGAATCATCCGTGGAAAACCGATTTTTATTCCGAGCAAATTAGCTCATAAGACTTTTAGTCGTTTGGCGTTGCTCGTGGCTTTTTATTTCAAAGAGGGAAAATTCACTTGTCGCGATATTAAAATGAATGAAGACGCACACGGATCGTCGCTAATCGCCGTTTCTTGCACAAAATAATTTTCAGCTTTTAGTGGTGGCTCCCAATAAAGGCTGTCGTGGAAAAGTTAACAGCATCTGTGGGTAGACTGCATGCATGGGTTAACCAGTGGTCTGTTTATTAGTGCCATGTCAAATTAAACGTGTTTGGCGTTTTAGTTCAAAAGCTGAGCAGGAAGTTAAAATAAGTGTAATTAAACCAAATAGACTGCTGACATGAACGCTTTTCTTTTTTCGTTCTTTTTCTCTCTCTTTTTAAACAATGCAGTAAAATGATCAGTTATTAGTGCTGAGGTTTCTGCTGCAGGTTTAAATCTCCATCAGCTCAGCTCACTTCTTTTTGTTTCTGAACAAACCTCATGATGTCTTTCTCACACAGAGCCAAGTCTCTTTCTTCTTCTGCTTCTTTTTTGTCTTAAAGGGCGGTAAATTCTTCTCCCCTCCTTCTTTCCTCCTTCATTTTTAACCAAAGGTCTGTTTTTGATTGAAGCCTAAAGGTCAGCTTTGGAGTTTTACTTTTAAAGCATCTCTGACTCCAGCTTTGTGGCCAAAAGCTAACAATAAAGCCCTCAACTCCCCTTGAAATAACTGAGATTTTTTTTTATCAAGCCTCTGAACACCCTTTTTCCTTCAGTGGGCTTAAGTGCTTTCATGTCTGTAATAACTTTGTATACAGTGTATGTATACACACTAAGCTACAACAAGGTGATAATAAACCAGCTGCTAACTGCTCATGGTGTGGCTAAAGCCTTGCAGAATTATGACTGGTGTGCCAAAGATTTGGAGATTTCATTAAAAAAAATGAGTACATGTCAATAGGTTTTGATTTAATATCACTGTGGTCACTTTCGCCAACTAGTTACAAAACCAGACAATTTTAATCAAATTCCTCAACTGGTTGGAGTAAAGTTGTGCTGCAGCTTCACCATAATGGGGCTATGTGGGATTTCACTGTCATCAAGAGGGAAAAGGTTCTGATTGATGCAGAAAATGTTTTTTCTCTCCGTTTGCAGCAAGGTAACCTTAGCTCAGTTGCTTTTCACTTCATAATGTGTATTTTACTACTTTTTTCCCCATCATTTGAATGTACTCCAAATACAATGCACTTACTGAAGTGTAAAGTACTGAAACTACATATATAAAATACATGCAGAGAATTTCTTGTATAATGTTTTTGCCCAAATTAATATGAATATTAAAACAGAACTGATTCTCCTAAAAACACAAACGTAACAAACCAATAAAGCTCATTTAGTGTTCTTCCATCGTGTATCCATCAGCAGCTCTGCAGCCCTTCCCTGAGCCCAGAGCCAGTGCTTGAGCCACCCTGACTGCTTGTATTTGATATGGTTGCTGGGAGTTCTCTCTCCACTCCTCAATGGCCTGTGCAAATGCTTTTCATCAGATCTGAAGTGATCTTCATACTGACAATTGCTGATAACATGAAGTTCACACACAAGGACACAACTGCGTGACCGCCATCTGCTTCCTTGTTACTAAGATTCAGCATTTTTCCATTTGATCAGTAAGAAAAAACCAGATTTTTATCATTCATGTTGTCCAAGGATTTTCCTGGAGTTAAAAGCAGGCCCTCACGCTTTTCCTCTAAATGTACACTCAAGTAGGAAGGCTTTCTGACAGTTTTTTATTTTAGAGTAGATAGACAGCTACCTTTAGGCGCGTATGTTTATCAAACTTTTCATGATTATTTTATTTGAGGTCTGCATGTGAGCTTGAAGTTCCTATGCTGTATATGCACATGTGATAGGCCAAACATAAAAATGTGACATTTAGAGCTTTTGAGGATCTTCTTTTGAGGTTAAAGGTGCAGCCGTAGGCCTTTAGTGTTGACTCTATAAAATACACAAAGTAGAAGTAAAGATACTTGTAATTATATTACCCAAAATTACAGGTTGGATTTTTAACCTTGGTTTTAAAAAAAAGAAAGAAAAAAAGCCTTGGGTCAGTATGGACATTTACTTTGTCTCTCCTCCTGCTGCCTGCTGTTAGTCATGCACAGGCCTCCCGTCTTGCCTCCAGCTCTGGTAGACACAGAGGCACTTTCTCAGGGCTGCAGCTCGGCTCTGCTGTTCCGTGATAATGATAAGGCCTTAAATCCCTCTGTAGATTTGACCTTTGTCCTCCTTCTCTATTTTTAAACTGTCTTGTGCATTTTGAGAGTTGTGATCTGGCCGGTGCTGGAAGGATTAGGTGTATGTTTGGGCAGAGGTGACTTTGAGAGCCCCCCTCTGTTTGGTTTGGCAACCCAGCAACCACCACACAGCTGCTGGCATAACCCTGCTTGATCTACCAGATACCCAAAATCATTATGTGGTGTTTGTTATGGAGGGAGAATAGTGAGGAGAAAAGAGGGGAGAAAAAAACAGAAAAGAAGATAGATTTAGTTTTGTTTGAGGAAGACTTTGAGAGTTCGGCCACTCAGACATGTTACAGACATTCTTTCAAACTTGATTAAAATACTTATCATTCGACTTCCTCTTTTAAGACGTTACCAACGGGCTATTGACCGAGCACGTGCTACACTGGCTCGCGTGTTTAATCCATGCTACTTTTAATCAAAAATCATGCAAAATGATATGGTAATGTCCTCACCCCACCTTTTTCAGAGTGTCTGGGATAATGGTCACGCCATACTAAAAATTCTTAGGCAAAACTTTACTGAATGTAATGATGCTCATGTGCTGTAAATCTAAACATATATCATATAGAACTCAAAATATATAAAACTCAAGGAAAAAGTTACAAAAATTCAGCACAGGTAGTTTTATTTTAGCAACTCTTAATAGACTTTAATAAATGAAACTCACATTAAAACTCATTCTACATGATTTACTCTAACTCTAGCCCTTTTGTTGTTTTTGTGTATTTAAATTGAGCTTATTGCCACAAATTAATATCCTGTTACATTAAGTGGCTACTTTGTTTCACATTTTATCCTGTTTTTAAAAAAAAATAAACTCATAACTGAAATCTGGAAAAATGCTAAAAAAAAAAAATCTATATTTTCTTCTAAAATGCAGTGGAGCATTAGAGTAAAAAGGACCAGTACATGAAAAATGACTATATGTGTCTCAAAATATACTTTAAAAAGCTTTTTTGAGCTCTGAAATGAAGCAGAGGTAGTTTTCAGATTAATCAAATCACAAAGCAGGTTTTGTTCAGAATTTTAAAAAAATACACATCTTTAAAGGTTCTTTGAAGAAACTACAAAGAAGAGTGACTTTTCCCAAAAAACCCCATAAACAAACAGATCCCAGCTCTGTTTCAAACCCCCTTTTCCTCGACTGACTGGGGCCGTCTCAAGCATTTGAACAGTCAAGCAGTCTGTCATTCTTACAAAGACAAACTCGTCCTCCGGCTGACAGTTAATGGGTTTGGCCCACTGATTAATTGTGATAAATGGGAGCTCATTCATAACCCATTGTGCAGTTGGCCCCTGTGTGCTGTCAGTGGTGCTGGATACAAAGACAGCAGTAGAAAGTTGAGTCACTGTTTTTACAGTGGAAAGAGGCAAACTACTGCCCCCCATTGGCCTCAGGTGCTCACTGAGAACACTGCAAGGGCTTTGGCATGATAGATGAAGCGTTTTCTGACTGCAGTTTTCCAAAAAGTAAAATTTAGTACATGATTGTGAGACTTTCAAGACAGATAAACAGGAAGTCAGAGGCCTAAAATGCAAACACACAGGCCCTGATTAAGAATAAGATATTTATCTTCTGTGTCAATTCTTGTGGTAATATGAAAAACACATGAAAAGTGTAGCTGCAAGCGGCGATCAGGGGGTTTAAGCCCATATGGGAATGTTAATAATTTAAGGCTGTCAGGGGTCAAGAGCTACATGGGAATGCTGGGAATGCTGAGAGCAGAGTTTCTGGCAATCGTAGACATAATGACATGGAAACTATCCACAAAAGAAAGGTTGCCATTGTTATTATTATTATTGATATGTTTATCCTATTTCACATCATTGTTGTGATGGATCCGGTGATACCTTCTTGTTTTAGGAGTAAATCCTGTATGTGATGTATTTCAGTAGGCGAGCTTTGCGTGCATGACATGTTTGTCCAGGAGTGTATAAATCTACTTTGAGTTATTTTAAGACACACCCAAACTCACAGGCCAGTAGTGCACCAAGACATTTGACTCTAGATTTAGACAGTGTGTTTTTATTGTATGTTAATGCCAAAGTAGTAGTTTAAAAAAAAACACAAAGGCAGCAAGATAGTCATTGTTAAAGGGATCTCATTTCTTTCTTCTTCTTTTTTTTTTTAAACTTTTATACTCTCAGTACTTTTTCTTAAAAAATATTAATCTGAGGATAAAACCATCTGTGGTTTCATGGCTAAATGTCAGTTCTTTTTTGCTTGGACTAACGGTTAAAGTCCATTTTCTCCGAGCTGCAGACATTGATGTGGTTGCACGGTACATTTCTCAAAGTGTTTGGTGTTGATTGATTAAAAAGTGAAACCGTGTCACAGGAAATTTAATGTCTCGCCACATTAAAAGTCCATCACTGACAGAAGCTGATGTCAGCTTTGGGCAGAAACTAGCCAAGTTTGACAGGAACTTGGCTAGTTTCTGTCACTGACCTGTGACTGTCTGCTATTTTGTTGGTAAAAACCATCCATTTTTGCTGACTTTTTTTTAACCCCTTTGCCTTCAGAAGTGCAGTAATTAATCACAGATAGCACAGATTCAACAAGGTGCTGGAAACATTCATCAGAGACTTTCATCCATATTGAGACGGTGTTATCACACAGTTGCTGCAGGTGTTTTGGATGCACATTGATGATGTCAGTCTCCTGTTCAGCCACATTCCAAAGGTGCTGTATTGAACGAGATCTGGTGACTGCGGAGGCCATTTGAATACCGTGAACTCACTGTCGTGTTCAAGAAATCAGTTTGAGACTATCTGAGTTTTGTGGCATCCTGTGTTATCCTGCTGGAAGGAGCTAACAGAAGATGGAATAAAGGGATGGACATGGGCAGAAGCAACAGTCAGGTAGGCTTTGGAGTTTAAATGATGCTGAGTTAGTATTACCCAAATCATTACACCACTGCAGCAGCCTGAACTGTTGATACAAGGCTGGATGAATCCATGCTTTCATGTTGCTTATGCCAAATTATGACCTTGTCGTAGCAGAATGAAGAAAACAAGCAGATTCCAAACAGAATTGTCCCATCTGGCCAGTTGGATTTGAACCCAGGGCTTTTTTGCTGTGATGTGATTGTACTAACCACCAGATGTATCCTTTTTAATATAAATAAAGAGTACACAATGCATTTTTATTTAATAAAATAGTGTCAGTGTATCTGAATATTCAGTGTGTATCTCATCTCCTACATTGACACATTGGCTAGTGATCAGAGTTTGGCTCTGATCACTAGCCATCTCTGGCCATCACAGGTCAGCGCTAACTTTTATTTACTTCTGCCTGTGTAAATAAGCACAATAGAAACGCAATTGCCAGCATTGCTTTATTTATCTTTAGAAGTTTTCCCAGTGAATAATTTGAGATAACACATATGCAAGCTTTTCCTCACCGAACATGGAGACCTCCTATTAAAAAGACCTCACTGGTATGATGAACAATGGGTATCTTCTGTTGGTAAGCGCCATTAAGTGGTTGCATGAGGCCAAATCAATCAACAATTTTCCAAAAGACAGCACTCTTAAAAGACTATATATAAATGATATGTGGAGCAAAGCAGTAAGTTTGGTGACATAGCTCCAGAGCCAAAAAGCCTGTGCAGGAATATGGAGGTCAGTGGAGTGGCCAACGCTATTTTGCACTTTAATGCAGCGGGCTGTTTTGTTTGGGGTTTTTTTATACCTATTTTAAACCGACTGTCAGCATTACTTCCTTTAGCACAGATCATTGCATTAATCTTGCTAACTCTTGCTAAGTGCTTATTTTAATCCAAACCATTACCATCACCCAAACCCCATCGAGTTCTTTCCATTTCAGACCTCATCATAGGATTTTCATCATATCAAAGGCTTATCTTTTTATTTTTAACATGGGAAATATATGTGACCGAATGCATGTTTACCTCTGGCATAACTCCTGCTGCTGGTATCTGCTATTTTTAGATTGGTTAGCTCATTCGAGAGCAGCAGTAACAAAACTGTATTCTCCTTTCCTTCTTTTCTTAAATCTCTTTCAAGAAAGTCACTCAGGCCCACATAACTTCCCTTATACACACATCCCTGCGCACACACACACACACACATATATACAGCACCATGCAGCTCGACAAGATCTGAGGCCAGATATTTGATTTACACCAGCAAGGTCAAAGAGAATGCATTAGGACCTTTTGCCAGAGAGGCGCAGGGAACAGGCAAGAGTTATAAAGTGGTCAGATGGATGCTGACACATGGCCCTTCATAACAATCAGTAGAAGAGTTAGTTGCACTGGCCCTGACCTCCTCCTCACTAGCACTGTGATCTATACTCTCCAGCCCCCAGCTCCTATACACCACACCCTGCCAAACATACCAACTCCCAGGTCCTGCCTGCAAGAATCTGACTAAAACTTAATGTTAATGTTCTTAGTCTTCACATTTTTTTTTTCATAGTGAATTTTTAGCACTTTTTGCAAGCTAAAGGTGTTTTCTCTACTTCTAATAATTGCTGTCAACTAACACTGGTCGATATACCGGACACATTCAAAGTCACAGCTCTTTTAATATGTGCTATAACTTGGCTGTGAAGAGCCAAGGCTGAGTAACTCCCTTTTAAATGTGTTATCTGAAGGTCTTCGGGGTTTTTATGTCTGTCCTTACAGCTCTTTATCTTTGTTTGAGCTTATTACATAGTGAAAGGATCCTTTCGGTCCATAAAATAGTAAAAAAAAATACCTTTGTTTGGTCAGATAAAGTCTTTGCAAACTATCATATATTAAGACAGTCACACATTTTTTAAGTTTAATGTTTACACATGTACAAAATATTACATAGATTTCTGTTTTTGTGATATGAAGCCTGTTTGCTTTTTGGAAAGATACATACATGCAACATAGCATTTAGATTATGTGCGATAAAAAAAATCTAATTGTGATTTTAGGAACGTGCAAATTAAAAGACAAACTCTTTGTTTATTGTGTTTTTGTTTCTCCATCTTTTCTCCCACTTCCCTCAATAGCCCCCATACCCAATCAGAGTGATTGAGTGTTATTGGTATTTTGATTGATGCTTTAAAAATCACTTTGCCAACAATATTATAATGGCACATATATTATAATATGATCTATTTATCACAACTTATCACAACTATCTTAGCTTTAGGGTTGTGGCGATAATTTCTCAATCACCCAGTTAACTCTAATGCAATCTGGAAATACTGAGTGATGTCCAGAGGGAGAAAACTTAAACCAAACAATTTGAAAATAGAAAATTAATCTCTACATGGGCGAAAACGCTAAGTTTAAAGCATAAAATGATGAACAAAACAAGAATAATAGTTAATAGTGCTCGTAGAAACCAGTGCAAAGTCGAAATGTATATTTCATCCAGCTGCTGCATTCTCCATTTTCATCTTGTTCTTTCTCAATATTTGGACTAAAATATATGAAAATTGTGATGCTGCAATAAGTGCTACAAAAACAAACTTGCACTAAATAAAGCATCAATTATGTACTCCTCAGGTATGTTAAGAAGTGGCTGATGTTTAATGTTTTACTGCTGTTTAATTGTGTCATTATATTGCAGCCTTCTTGATTTCTTCCTCTTCTTCTTGCAGTGATTTATGGTAGCTGATTTGAGAGTTGCCTCCAGCAGCTCTCCAACTTGCTGAAGCAACTTCTAAAATTTGCGCAAAGCAATTAAGTACATAATCTGCTTTTCATTTGCAGTTTTTTCTTTAAATCTGCCCTAAATTCTGGTGGAAAACCAGCTCGTAATTCACTAACGGTTCAATTATATACAAAAATTTAAATAAAAGAATTAGTGGATGCTCTGCAGAACGTAATAACCTGGTCTATGACAGCAGTCTCCTTCATGACCTCTCTCCTATCTAGGCCTCTCTCCCAATGTTTACATCACTTTTTTATAAGTCTGGGATGACATTCACAGACCTACTACAGCCCAAATTCTGCACATACATGCACACATACACTTAGGCAGTTGTGTCTGGACAGCGTCAGGCAACACTTCAAAGTGCAGGATCCCCCTTTTTACAAGCCATATTAGGCTCACATCAAAGCGTGCTCCGCACTTCAGACCAGAGTTTTCTGGTCAGACGAACATCTCTGCTGCACAGTGCAGTGATGAAGCACTGCAGTGCAGCGCGTCACATCTGACCCGAAATCAGACGTGCACGCAGATAATACGGCACGGACTCAAACCAACGTACATATACATATACTTTGGCATTTGAGCTATTGCTATTGTTTTATGAGCTTTAGCTGTGTAAAACATTAACAACTGAAGGAATCTAAGTTTTAATGTCGTGCTTGTTGGGAGTGTGTTTGCTCACGGCATCAGTTACCATGACAAGACTAGTGACAGGGCGAAACCGTATGAAATGGCAAATTCCTTTCATTAATTTAGATTTCAGTGCTTTTTTCTATGTGTATAGTGTGCCAGAAAACCATGAAGTAAATTCAGAGCAATCTTCTTTTCCCTCCTCCTCCTCCTGTCGGTAATCTCCTGATGAAATGCACTTCAAAGTGTCACGTAAAGCTTTTGCTTAGCCGTTGTTGCTTTAGTGTGTTTCACGCTTGGATTCTCATGCAGTGCATGGTCCTGGTGAAACGCTGGATGCGTCATTAGAGAGAATGCCGTTGTCAGAGCTTTGAGAAACGTGCTTGCAGCCTACATTAGGTCAGTCCAACTGTAGTCACCAAATAAATAATGAGGGTCATTACGTAAAATAATGTTGACAAAGGGTGACTATCTGTCTTTTTGACAACAGCCGAGTCCTTTGATAAACATTGCAGCACCCATGACTTCTTACAGATACTGTAGGCTTTGTTCAAAAAAGATTTTTCCCCACTTGAGCATCGGTCTCATTTCAGGTAAAAGCTGATCATGACTTTAAGTGTTGTAAATGGTTGAATAGCAAGGCCACTGTGCAAGAGTTTATTCAGTTGTTTTTGCCTTTACTGTACAGGCATTCGTGTCATTTGCCCAGTTTTAACTTCTCTTCCCTGAATTTTCATATTTGTCACTAAATCTTCTTGTAGACGTCTCCCTTCAACTGCTATATGCTTTGTTTTGGACTAAGGCATATTATAAAGAGTGCATCAGTGGATATTTTCACTTGGCACGAAATGACAGTGAACTTTCTCTAAAGTAAAAGATGTCAAACAGCATTTTTCTTTTTTGCTTTTCACTCACCACTCCTCGCCCCACCAAACAGAACATGTCGTCCACCTATTCATCTACATTTGTTTACTCTTTGTTTCAGACCCAGCTTGTTTTTCCAATGAACGCATTTTAAAGGGAAACTCCCTTCCAAGAAGTTTACTTTGTGCAACCGTACCACCAGGCTTGATGCAAAAGTCCCATAATTCATTCGTTCCTCTCCGTCACAAGGTAGCTGCCACTTACCCACTCACCCCACCCCTCCTCTACCTCTGCACTTGTCTCTGCACAGGTCACCATCCGCAGGCAAGACACTTTCGTACTGTTGTGTACTCCTTGTTTATGATGAAGAAAATGTTCCCAGCATGCAACATAACAGATATAAATACTAATAAATACTCCTACTACTTCTAATCAAAGTGCTATCTCAGTAACGAGCTTGTTTTTTTTTTTTTTTATTACTACAGAGTATTGCAATTGTTCTGCCATTTTTCAGCAGTTTTTCTTAAAATATCTACTTTACAGATCAATATTTTTGCAAATTACTGCACTGGCAAAAATTTAACTATTGAGTGGTGTTTGAATTATGCTATTTGACAATACAACCAATTAGGTGCAAAGTCATCTATGGCATTGAGTTCAAATTCTGAGACCGGGAATGGAGCACATTAACATCAAAGTAAAAGTTGTGCCTTTTGAAACGTGTTGGCTGCAGCAGAAAAGCACAGTTTTTCCTTTGAAGATGAACATTTTCTGTCTTCCATGCAAACTAGGACACCTCTTTGTGACCACTTTTACCCACAGACTGGCAGCAACAGTTCAAAAACTGGTTGGCAAACACGCATTATTCCCTCCCAGTGGTTGACAGATGGTTGCCGACTGGTATGTATTTTGCTGTCAGGGAAGAGCACTGACACTGATTGAAAGGGGGGCAATAGGGGGGCAAAATATTCACAAAGGCATTATCCTTTTACATCCTTCAAGGGGAAAAAACTCCCTAACATTGTTCAGTACAACTCTGGCCTTGTATTAAAGAGTAAGCAAATGTTTTTGATGCAGGGAACACAAAAACTCCCCATTTTTACATTTACGTGCTTTCTTCTACCTCTTCTTCTTCTTCTTTGTCTGTGTGTTCAGAATGAGTCACTCCAAGGTGTTTTCAGTGCAGACCAGGCAGAAACTCCTATTCATCAAACAGGTATGTGTGTGTTGTCTTTGCTCACAGAAAGGATGCGGGGAGGGGGGAAAAAGGCTAGTGAGTTATTTTAGCAGTGTTTGGGCTTCCCTCCAAGCCTTCATACCATCCCCGGCCATCCTATCTCCTACATATGAGGCCTGGGGCTGGGAGGGG